TCATCTTTCTTAATATGATTTAATAGATTTTATAATATATTTATTAAATTAATAGCTTCAATTAAGTCTAGAGATTTATATTGAAGATAATTAGCTAGTGGAGTGGTGATGGCCAAAATGTTTTTGACGAAAATCATTGTTAAAAAAACTCAAATTATGTAATTATTTTAAGAATTTTTTTAGCTCCTGTCTGTTTTCAGAAATTGATAGTTAACAAAGTGAATATAACAAGGCATTAAATTTTCAATATACGACTTGAATTACATGGTCATGTGACGTTTACCTAGTGTCTGGAAAATCTATCATTCTTCGAATACTCTGTAGGTTGAAGTAGCTTTTGTAATCTTAAAAATTCTGCAGTTCTTTTTTGTGTTCTTATAAAATATATTAACGCTTGAAAATCACTAAAGAAATTGTTTGTATTTGTACTAGAATCAGTCGTGTCTACGATGACTAAATTAAGTCTATAGGCAAAACACCATACATAAGTGGCTTTTGGATTTTTCTTTTGTATAAGAGTCTCTAAACCATTATATTCCCCTTGCATTGACACAGCACCATCATATGATTGTGCATACATATGTTTTTTCCAATTTATACTATACTGTTTCATTATTTTCAAAAATACCTTTACCAGTACTATTATCTGGAGTTTGTAAAGCAATTATCGTTCTTTTATTTCCTCTAAATAAACATATCTTAACAAAAATGTTATTTTTTCCAGATTAAATACATCAATAGTAGTATCTACAACTATTGAAAACATTTCAGATTTTTTTAATTTTATTTAACATTATACAGGTAGATCTTATAAATTCTTTCATAATATCTAACAATTTATTCTGGCTTACATTAGACAAAAAGGATAATTTATTTTTTGAAACATGGCACAATATTTGGACTTGTTACATTTCTGAATGCTCAGTCTTTTTTGTGAGGTTTTTCATTAACCACTTTAGTATTAAGAAACGATTTAATATTATGAATATCCTCATTATTATCATTACAAAAGTATGGTTACATTTTTTAATGGTTTTTTTTAATTTCTCATCTAGTGTTTGAATTGTTAACACAGGCATTTAAAATTAAACATATAATATTTTTTATCTTAAATTGTGATGTAATCTCTCAATATCATTTATATAAAATTATTGACCATATAAAGTAATAATAATTAATAGTGTGGTAATAATATTCCTTTACAGTAAGCCAATTTAATTGCTATCTTCATTTATTTTTACGATTTATAAATATAATTTAAAATCAATATTAATTGCAAAAAGTCACTTATTATTTAACAGAATAATCATCATACGAGGATCTTAAGTTTAACGCTTTTATTATGAAATTTAATTCATGGAATTATGGAATTATACATGTGTAATTTTAAAATGTATAACACGGACTTATTTAACTTACATTTTTTTTTATCTATCTACGCAAATGAATTTAATATAATAAATTAGTTTGACAGTTAAAAGTTGTCATTAATATATTGATTATATCTTATATTATAGCTTTTATTTAAAAATATTAATTTTGTTAATTTTTACATATATGTAAAAAATACTACAAATATATTTGCTCTTTGCCGTGGGCTTACAAATAATTAATGTACTAAAATTAGGAAAAATTGTATAAGCAAGTCTAATCAATTTTAAATCAATTAACTAATAATTTCTAAATATATTATGATGTTTAAATTAATTATATTATTAAATATAAATGACCTATTTAGTATTGATTTTTTTTAAATTTTTAATTAAATAAATTAAAATATAGAACTAATAAACTCCTGGTGGGCATAGAATATAAATATAGTTAAATTTTATAATAACCTTATATTAATCTTAATTTATTTATTTAATAATTAATAAATAATTAATAACCTTAATGCTCAATCACTATTATTATGAGTTACGTATTACTTAATTATTAAGTAATAATAAATAATAATTTAAAAAGGTACTCAAAATATTATATAAGAACAAAGAGCAACGAAGTAGAGCAAATCATTCTATATTTAATATGCGAGTATGATATAAGTATTATAATAAAATGTAATAATACATTTTACATTTCGATCAAACAAAATTGTTATAAACATTTTATAACATATTGAACGACTACGTAAAAAATAAAAAACCAATTATATATATTGTATATATATATATTGTACTAGTTATTTGTTAGGGATTTCAAATCTAGAACACTCAGGTAAATTGTAAACGAAACCATAAAATGCTGTATATTATTAAATGCAGATTGAATTTATAGAATACATAAGTACATTTGTTGTCAGTTTAAAATTAGAAATACATTCTTCTCTTATAATATTTTTATAGGTTGTAAGTATTTTTGATTATTTGTAATGCATTTTTTACGTACTTCCAATGAATGCCAAATTCAATCCGTCTCCATAAATTCGATTTGTTTTAAAATCAAATTATTTTTTAATGTTTTCTAGATTTTTTATTTTGGTAAGCAAATAATTGTACGATTGAAACTGTAATTAGTTATAATCAGTGGCGCCCACAGGCTTACCATGAACCATTGCAGTTATAGTTATAGGGCCCCTAAATTAATTTTGGTCTACATTCATACTGGTATGACCATATTCATTTGATCGAAATAATTTTTTTTTTCAAATGTATTTTCAAATACATAATTACCTTAAATAAATTAAAAAAAAAATCTCCACCTGTTGATATTACTAAAAAATGTTTAAAAAGGAATTTTAATTTTTTTTCTTTTCTTATGAAGGTTTTCTTAAATGTATTTAATTCTTAAATTTGTAGTTATTGTAGTATTTTTAACGTTTTATTTTTTGAAGATATACTTGAGAGTAGGTGAATAATTTTATTTTCAGTGGTTATATATTTATGTCTATAATACTTCTGATATAATTTAATGTGAATAGGTACATATTATGATCGATTGTAATACTCGAGTGTTAAATATACAAAAATAGTAATAAATGAAAATATAGTGACAAAATTTGAAATTTTTTTCAAATATAATTCCTACTTGTTGTTAAACGATATGGAACATTGAACGTTAATATTGAATATTTAAATTGAATTTGATAACTTCTTATGTTACAGCAATGAGTATTAATATAAAATAAATATATGATGTTTAACGATTTGTTTAATTTTGTAGTATAAAATAGTAGGTATGTTTTTATATTGCTGTATATAGATTTAAAAAGGTGAATGTTATATGTAATGTATAAGATTGAATGTAGGAACCTTCCAAGGTCTTATGAAATTATCAAAAACGTATTAAAATCTAATTATTTTTATACAATTATGGTATATACTATGGTAAAACTATTGAACATATTATTTCAACGTGAATTATCTTTATTTAATTCAGAATAGACGATATTAACATATACAATTTACTTGTGAGATAGGTATTCATTATTCTTTTAGACAGTCGAATGAAAAATACAGATTTGCTGAAATTTATACTCCTTTACAGTGTGTTTATGGTTTTCATGTGTTTCATGGTGTTTGAAAATATGTTTAGCTTTCTGATTTTATTTTTGCAATTATAGCTTTCCAAAAGTTAGGGTCATATACCGATATACGTATTACTTACACAATGAAAAACAGTTACATATGGTTTCTGTTTTTCACATGTTGAATTAATGAATTCTGATGAGGATTTCAGCCGGTCGTATAGCTACTTGTGTAAAAGTAACACGTAAACTTGTCATTAATATTAGAGGATTTTCTTCGGGAGAATCGAGCCGCTCCGCCTCACACATACGTGCATGATATATGATATATAAAGTCGTTTTAATTCGTTTCATCAACGAAAAAAGTTTGGTGCGGTAAATATAAACTCGTTTTTCCAGTTAACGTTATTACATTGTTTGCTGTCACCACACATGTGTTGATCAAATGTTTAAGGGTGTCGGTTTTTATTTACTCAAGATCTTTTTCTAGAAACCGCCCTAACCGCACCCTTTCAAAAACAGAAAAAAAAAACAATACATCCCTTTTGTACGCTTATACAACTTGTGTGTGTGTAGTAAATATAGAACGAAGACGAGCGATACGCGGCGGCAGCATGTATGCGAACGCGCCTCATGTGAATGCCGGCGACAACGATGACGCGGCGGACCAGGCGCGACAGGCCAGGGAAGAAGGGAGATTTCGCGGTGTGCCTACGCACACGTCGGTGGCTTACGCGGCCGGCCGGACGGGGGACGCGGAGCGGCGTTAGGGAGTGGTCGCCCGGCGTGTGCCTGCGCGCGCGCGCGCGTACGTGCATGTGTTTGTGTGTGTGTGTGCGTGCGTGCGCGCGCGTGCGCGCGCGACGTGTACGGTGCATGTGTGTGTACGTGTTCTCAGTTGTGGTGGCACTTAACGCCCGCCGCCCGCGATCGGGTTCGTCCGAAGTCGGTACCGCCGGCGATCGTCGTCGTCGTCGTTGTCGCCGCCGCTGCTGCCGCCGCCGCCGCCGCCGCCGTCATCGTCAACGGACAGCGCTGCTACACAGCAGTACAGAGCGGTAGCGGCAGAGCACTAGCAACTTTGATCGTGTTAGTATGCGTTTGCCGTTTGCCGTAGACCAGTGTGTGCATGTGTGATCGTATATCGGTCGCCGTCGCCCGTCATCGCCACCGCCACCGCCGCCACCACCTCCGCTGCCACCACAGTCGTCCTCTAAAACAATAATCGAATAAAATATTATTTTTTTTTTATTTTATCACACATTGTTTGTCGCCGTCGTGGACTCTCGATCTCGACGACTTATTGGAATTCGGGGGCGGTTTTTTACGTTTATCATTTTTCCCTCGTCGTTTCCATCTCACAGCTGCTGGCAAACCCCTCCCCGTCGGCAAAAAAAAAAAAAAAATCAAAGTGTGTTCACTTACATATGTATACCGTACTTTTAATTTTTTTATCACTCATTTTAAACCAATGAATCGTTTTATGTTCTGTGCACTTTGAAAAACTTACAATTTGTTTTTTCTGTTTCTCTAGGTAAACTTTCACGATTACAGTGCATCCTACTCCAAGGTAAGTGTTGACGATAGCGGTTTATATTATACTATACTTGTGTTGTACGATTTTTATTTGTAACCTTATAAGGTGCCGCAATGTCGTTTGGCACATTTCCACCGAAAGCGTCGGTTTTTCCCCTCTACGATGTTTATATTTTTCGATTTCTCGCGTTTTCCCGTCGACGACGACGTACTCCACTAGTTTTTAATACGGTGTACTGAGACGAGTGGTCAACAGAAATTCGTACGTCACCGCCACCACCGCCGCCGCCGCCGCCGTCGTTTGTTGCGGATTTCAAAGCACACGTCATCAACAACACTGACGCGGCGGCGACCAAGGCGAACCACGGTGACGACTATTCCTTCGCGAGCGTATGTTGTTTTATCGCACCGTCTACCATTTTTTTGTAATATTGTCGAACCGCGTTCGCGAAGAAAGCGACGTCCGGCTTCGGCGCTTCCGGCGAGAACGCCTAGCCGTACCGCGACGACGCCGAATCTAACGGTGTTTCCTGCGGCACCGAGAACCGCGGTCACTTGAATTACACGTACGCGTAAGAATTCGCGTAGCGTTTCGGATAGATATTCGTGTAAAACGTGTACACACGCCTTGGTGGTTTCAAACCGGTACGTTTTCACCGCGTACACGGAGTAGGTACCGTCCAAGTGCGCGCGCATCCGAGTGCACCGTAGGAAACGTAATTCCGTTTTCGCGTACTCCTCCGGTTCTCATCGTCTTTCTGCGATCACCGGTACATACCGGTATATCGTCTTCTCTCCGCCATGCCACCACGTATAACGTTCGACCCATTCACTATTGATGTGTATTTTTATGCGTTTACTTATCGCCCCGTGTTTTCCGCCCGTCTTATCGTCCTTTTCGTTATTATCCCTTCGTTCACCACCGCCTCAAAGAAAATCCTCTACATACATGGCGTAGAAATCACGTTTCGAAACTTTCACCATCGTCATCATCATCTGCAGCGTAATTACGTGTACACGGGTTGTATTTGGTAATAGGGTGTGTTCGAATATACGTACTCCGCGTCTACACCCTTTATGATGAAAATGGTCTGAAAGCTGCGCTGGAAAGGAAAACGCGCATGATGCTGACATATGCTTTAAGTGGTCTTGGTTATTATTATTATTAAACTTTTTTTTCCTTTCCCCTAAACACGAACAAATTTTTTCCATTTCATTTTTCGTCTCAGAATTTTTCTCTTTTAGTTTGTTTGTTACAATACGAAACGGTACTTTTAAATTAAGTCGTGTGTGTATTAATTCGCACACCGCTTATAGTGCAATGTTCGCACAAAGGAAAATCTTTTAAAGTTTTTCGTCATCGATTGTTTAAATACACGACTAGTTAAGTCGTATGGTATCCATACAATAACGCGATAATGTTCCAAGTAAAATACATAATCGTATATTTCTACAATAATATAAAGTAGGTGACTAAATAATACTCGGGAATTCGCCAATTTCCCAGAAGTAAAGTTAGATTATCGGATTAAAAAAAAAAAAAAAAGAATTTCATTGCATACTGTCATTTTATATTTTCCTTTTTACTTTCAATACATCACGTTTCGATGTTTTCAGACCCATGTCTTTTATTTATTCTGTCTAAAAAATGTGATAAAATTTGAACGTTTAGCAATTATATATTTCAAGTTTCTAAATTGCAAGTGTTTATTCACAACAATAATGCAATTTAATTAAGAAATTATTTTTGTCAAATATTTTTTAAATTTATAAGACATGTACTGAATATTTAATTTTTTAATCAATATATAACCGGTTCAATATAGTTGAAATTTCACGTTATTTTTGATACCAGGTATTTTAACTTTGACTTAATATTAAAACATTATCGGTACAATAATTTTAAATTGGTAAAAGGATTTGCTAGTGTATTGAATTTAGCCTGTTTTTTAGTCGTTTTAAAACAATTAATTAAATTTAAAAACAAAATAATGAAATTAATGTTATACATAGTATAGGTGTAATCATCCAAATATAATAATCGTGGGCCTGGCTTGACGGGATTGATTTTTTTGTTCCGCCGGGAGAGGGTGGGTTTCCCCACAAAGAACTATGACGTCCAAAATCCTGTGGGTGTATGGGTGTATTCGCGCATATGTGTATGTCCCATTTACACTTTAGACGCTTACATTATTAACTTAGGCTCCTGTTGCTTTCTTTGACGTGTCCTTTTTCTCACTTTTTTCCGCATATTCAAATTAATTTCAATTTACCAAACATTAATGCGGTCTTTGTTTTATGTTTTTTTTTATTCTTTTTTGTTCAGTGTAATGAGAGACAAAATAACTTTAAAGTAATTAAACATGTTTAAAATTCTCCTTTTGAACAACTATTAATGGTAAAACAGGACTGAGTTTTGTAATGACTGCTGTTTTTTTTTATCTTATAACGATATTTATGGCATAATGTAGTGAATTATAATTTTATATATTTTAAACATCCAATCAACTATTAGGTTGATTAAGAGCGTGTACGATTTTATGGTATTTATTTATGCGATTATTTTATATGAATGTTATAAGCAAATGTACAGTCATTTTTATTTAAAATTAATGTTTACTTGATTTTTAATAATATCATAATTTTTACTTAAACAAATTTTGGTATTTAATTTTACTTTATAAGAACATAAAAAGTCTTGATGAACATTTACAAGGATAGTAAATAGATTTCAAGTCCTTCTAATCGTGAATAAAAAAAATTGAGCTTATAATAATTTCTGTAGTTCCACTTTTATAATTCAACTATATGTTTATGTACAAATAAAGATTTCTATCCTCGGTATTTACATTTTGAAACGATTTTTTGTTATTTTTAAACATTTTATATTTGTAATAACAATTATTGACTTTATCAACTTAATAATTAAAATTATTATTTAATATTTCTCTAATGAATTATTTATTTTTTCTTATCAATAAACTTAATATATCGAAGATTAGTTTTGATTCAATAATTATACATTATTTCAGTAATTTTATTAGTTCATTATGAAAAGTTTCAGAATTGTTTTCTAAATCATACATTATAAAATATTATATTATAGCTCAGCAAGTCTGATTATCGTGTTATTTTAAACTTAGTTACTTATTTCTATTATACAAACATATTTTCATTTTTGCACTGTGCTAAATTACACGCCCGTTATAAATTTTTTAATTTTTTTTTTTTTCATTACTCTCATTACACTCGCACACATTTTACTCATATTTTACATTTGTATTGCATTTTATAATATTAAGCCCTATTAACTTTACTTCTAATTTTTTTTTTAATCTGTAAAAAATGTTAAAATAGAACAATTAATCACAAAGGTGTCTTTACTCAAAACACTTCGATGATTATCCACTTTGGGACTCAGTAGGTTAAGTTATTTAATATTTTTATTTTTTAAGTATTAATTTTCCTGATTAAATTTTACTTTAATCATCTTACTAAAAAACATTTGTTCACTGTGCATGAATTTAGCGAGATTATTTTTAAAAAAAAGTATTAATAACAAACAGATCTACAAGTATATTACTCATTAATGAGTAAGATAATATAATTTTGAACATTTTTTTAGTTAAAAATATGTTGACGTACTATTCCAAATATTAATTTAAATAATAAGCTCTAAAAATTATGAAATAATACAAAAATTTTAAGTTCTAACAAAAAATGTGCCTAACTTACTCAAATTTCCAAATTTGTTGTTTAATTTTTATTACCGTAAAATGGTGTAACATTGATAAAATTAAAAAATTTTCTTAGTTTTTTGTTTATTAATTATTGAAAAATAAAGCTTTATTATAAGTTTTTACCAATTATTGTTCTTTATAAATATTTAAATAAAAAGTGCCTTAAATTTAAACACTTAATTTATTTGTGATGATTATTTTATTCTAACTAAATATATCATAAATATTATTTTTAAATTCTATTTATAATTATTTGTTAAATTATTTTAATGTTCAAATGTTTTATGATGAATGTCAACTGCAATTATCTTATAACTTTATACATTTTTCTAGGTATTTCTAAAACGCATGTTTAAAATTTTGTCTATATAATTAGTTTCTTTAATTTGTATACTAATATTAGTTTTGATTGGCATTTTAAATGTTGGTTGAATGATGGATAAAATGTACTTTTAAACACTTTTTAATGATAAGAAATAATATCGATTGCAAATACCGTATATTTAAATATTTCTGATATTTTTTTATTATAATATTTTATATTTTTAAAATAAATGATGAAAGATAAATTATATTTTATTATATTTTTTCAATTTTTATATCATTTAAATATATTATTATACTTTTAAGTAATCAATGATATTTTTTTATATTTTACTTTCACAGATTTTTCGGTTAGATATTTAGTTGAAGATGATTTTAATTTTTACTAGTTAAGTATTTTTTGATTAATTCTTTGAAACTTAATTCACTTTATAAAATTAACTTATTAAAAGTATCAATAATGATATATTATAAAAAATTTATTTTATCATTTAAATACATGCTTGAAAAGATTATTTAATGAAATAAAAATCTTCATTTCTTTTGAATTAAAAACTTCTTGGTAGGTCTTTTTTTACATTTCCTGGCAATGTAATAGTATTTGAGTACTAATAAAAAAGTACACGACATTTGATCCCTTTTTTACTGACAATGGTATAATAAAGATTAAGTAACATTGATAAAACCCGAACTATTTTAAACCCATACTTTATATTTCAAATTAAATATTAATGTCTATATTTCACATTTTATTGTTCATTTGGTAGTTATAAGGACCATTACCTAAAATACATATCGATTTCAGTTTTTTATTTTTTAATTTTAGGATTCGTTGAATTTTATATTACCTGTTCCTTTGGAAATTACTTTTGTGGAATGTTTAACTAAAATTAATTATTTTCTTGAGTTAACGCCCTTTATAGACTCTTATTTTTAATTATATTCAGGATTTCAAATTTTTCATTTAAAA